CTGCTGCTTTGCGTGACTTCCCAGAATTGTCAGCATAAAGAAAAATGGGAGTACACAGAGCCTTGATCTGACTGGGTGGGCTCTGAAGCCATGACCACAGCACATAACGCAAGAGCGTGTACCACAGGGGCCAGTGCTCTCATAGCTCCCCCAGGAGACCCAAGTCTGATGAAAACAAACTGATTTAATTGTTGTGCAGCAACCCAAACGTGCTGGGGAAGCAACCCCTACAGCTCTTTGGTTTGCTTCCACTCCTCTCTCCTTTTTCTTTTATTACTTGAAAAGCTTCATTATTGTGATTCGTCTCCTTGGGTATACGTTCTCCTGACTAAGTTTAGGGTGAAGGGGTCCATTCAAACGTCTCAGTCTGTTGTAGTCTGCCATCGTGCAAAAAACTAAGAACAGTCAGATCTGCAGCACAGTAGCCGGAGAAAACAATCAGGACTGCAAAGAGCTTGGCTACCTCATTCCAGAAGGTGTCACACTCAAGCTGTTGTGTAAGCACAGGAAACAACACAGTTCAGTTCAGAAAGCCATTGCATACGTAATTCTTGGGAGTGTGCTGTACACCAGCTTGGTTACAGCTCCTTTATCTCAGCAAGAATCAAGCCAAAACATTTAATGAGAACTGTCCTGGATCATCTAGTTTCTCAAACTACTACTGAGTAGCTACACAAACCAGTAGCCCAGCCGTAAAAATGCACCCATGGTTGTTTGTGGCAGTCCCTCACACCTAAACCTTGCTACTTTACTAAAAAGGGAAAACACAATGATGAAAAAGCAGGACAGAAAGTGATAAATTAGTCACTGTACCTTCTTAATCTGGCCTGCATCCGATTGTCCGGGCTTACTGTTTTGAGCATATTCAACCTGACAGCCCTCTTCATCCTCTGGAGAAATAAGGTGAGCAGCTTTTCCCAGAAAAAAATTAAGATATTAGTCTGCATCCATGACAATAATTCATTTAAAAACACCCCAAAAATACCCACTTGGATGCTACCTTTATAGATCTCCAAGTCCTCTTGCTTTGGTTTTGTTAACCAAATCAGGGTGCATAGATGACATTGCCACAGAAGACAATGGCACCCGTTTGATCATGCAACAGATACGTTTTCTAGCACCTTCCTAAGCGGCACTTAAACATTTTAAAGCTGCATCCTTTAAAGTGTTCCCAAACCAACCAACTAACCTTACCATATAGTGGTATATTCTGTAGATGCAATCTAAATATTTATCTTTCAATTTCTGTATAAGCGTTTCCCATCTATAAATTGTTCAGAAAATGCTTTTGATTATATTTGTATATTCCTAGCTTCCATCATCCTCACAGAGGAAAATATCATGGAACAAATTTGAGAGTTTGTAAGCCTTCTTTTTTGCTGACTGTGTCAGAAGAATCTTCATGATTAATAATGAGGTCTAATTATCTACAACTTGCAGTGAACAACCAAGTAGCACTACATCGATCTGATTTTGATTACTATTTGAAGAGAAAGAGAAGAAGAAAGACCAGACAATACTGAACTGTAGAGATCTTATTAGCATAGCCAAGATGCTGCTACTGCCCTATTCCAAGAGAGCGTTTAAATCTTAGAATCTTATTTCCTACCGCCTGAGGTGAACAGATACACTAGAAACACAAAGCCTCTGGTTCTTTCTTAGCCTGAAAGTCCTGCTAAATAGATAGTCCACTCATCCTCAACACTCCAAACAAACATATCCCTTACTCCCTTTCAGAAAATGCAGATACTCTGACCAATTCACATAAACGATTATAAGCAATCATTTGACACTGATTTTAATTCTTGCTCAGTCTGCTTATTTTTCGCATTAGCTCCACATTTCTATGCTTTATGCATATTACTAAACTACTTTATAACAGCTTAATTCAATGTCAGCAACTAGGATCCAAACACATAATCCCGTTAAATGATTTCTATCCATCCAACCAGCCCCAGGAGAAAAATGTCACTATGTTTCTGCTACTGGGACTACTTGCTGTAAATAAAACCCTCTATTTTTCAAACAACAAGAATTAATTCAGAGTGAATAATAGCAGCGATGTGTGATGACACACTAAAGAGCCTTCTTTCTATAGATATATGTACACACATATAGAGAGATATATGTAGATATATGTCTCTGTATCTGTGGATGTGCACAGATTGTTGCAGTTTATCTGTACTGCCACTAGATGCAGCCACATAACCTTGCAAAACTTAAAATTTTGACCACAGGACTGCAGAAACCTCTTTGGAGTAGGTATGTTTGTAAAATTCTTACAACAGTATGAACAGAACTAAATCCTGAGTTCTGGAAACAAAGTAACGTACGTAGAATGTTCAGTATTTTTTCAATAACTTTGTTTCAAAACATAGCATTGCACATGTGGCTGGGGATCTGGGAGCAGAAGGAGACTTGCTTATTTGCATGGTTGTTGCCATAGATCCAGATTGGAGCCAGCAACGCTGAATTGCACTGTTTTGCTTTCAACATAACACAGAAAGGAAGAAGAAAGCTTTATGTTCCCAAGTGCTCCCACAAAGAACCAAATGACTGTGCGCATATGGAACATGTAAGGGTACAACTCCAGCAGGTTCCATTCTATCCCACATCATTTTCCTCCCTGTGCACCGATATCACAACTCTGGAAACACTAGCTTCTTTCTACTTATATGGTGAGCAGCAAGATGAATCCTGCTGGATAGCAAATGATAAAGGACTCCCACCCTCAAAAGTGCTTCTGCTTTTTGTAGTGTTATCAGACAGCACGAAGCCATGGAAAATTCTCCTGTCATTCCCTCACCAGCTATCAGAGGGAGCTACGCAGGCACAACATTCTCTTCAGGACCAAACAAAACCAGGGAAACTCTCCCCTACATTTAAGGGGTGTTACCTGTTCTGTGCTCTCCTTTAATAATTCCCTGCGTGCATAATATACATAGTACTGGGATAATACAAGCACAAGAAGCACACAAGTAGATTCCATATGTAATACAAACACAGTACCTGTACTCCACACTTATACTTTCTAAACACTGTTTTTACAGTAAGTTGATTTACCTCTGAAGATAGACAAAATAAAGCCTACTCAGCACATTCTGTGTCTAGGAAAGTGATCCCCAATGAGGTGTGCACCAGAGTGGAGAATATCATTTAAAAAGCAGATTTTTCATTATATATTTTAGTGGCAGCCTCACATGCTTCTGCTCTGTTCCATTACGGAGATCACACTGAGGTTCACAGGCTATACATGAGAGACCCCAATTTCTGGGCTCTCTCCTTCCTCCTTCTGTAAACAGAAATATCTCAATTCCCTGAAGAAATGCCTAAGGCAGTTCTGAGGCCTCACTTGTATTTTTTAATGACAGTCACTTAGATGGGTTCATATTTACCTGGGTTTTGGGTTGTTGTTGTCTGCTTGTTTGTGTTTATACGAGATTGCAATGCTAAAAAAGAGCATGAAAAAAGAAAGTATACTCCCCTCTAGGATCTGCTTTCTGTTTGCTGATCTGATCATAGTTCTCTGCAATTGCTATTAATAAAACTTAATTGAGCAGGACGGATTAAAGGAAAGAGCAACACCAGTTTTTGTTGGTTTAAAGCAGGGGGAACATAAACATAACGGCTTCAGAGGAGCCCAGCTTGGGGCAAAATTCTGGCTTAACTCTCCTCTGGGGTTCTGTAGACAAGACGAAATGCAATGTCTCAGCTGAAGGTCCTCAAGCCAGTACAAAGGATAGATGTGAGAAGGCATGGGAGCAATCTGCTCTGCAGCACTCCTTGCTGCACGTCCAGAAAGAGACAATGCGTGCCCTTCTTTTGGAATCTAGTGCTGATCACAGCTTGCGTACAGGCAGCAGAGGGGCCTGTCTGGATCCCAAGGCCAGCTGAACAGACTACATCAACAAGATCCCCATATGAACTGTCAAAAGGGTTTCCTACTCTGTTGCTGTCTGCTGTGAAGGAGGCAAAAATGCTCCCAGCAAGGACTTACCCTGTAGGACAGTACTTTGAGTCTTCCAAAAGCCATAATGGAAATGTTTGTGCTTCCATCCAAGAATGATATTGGCAGCAAATTGAAGGCAATTAAACACATTGCCCATTGGCCATACAAATTTCTCCTTTGTAATAATTTCAGAGAAAGAAACTCTCTCTATAACCCAGACATGGTGTTGTGCAACAGGAATTTTTTGGGCTAACTTCTACTCTGCTGTAAGTACACTGCAATGGGACTTACAGCCACTTTATGCCAAGACTTTGCTTTGTTCAGTATCTCTCAGATACTCTGCATCTCAATTTCATTACCTCATAATTTCTAAGAACGGTCTTGTTTCCTGGAAAAGGACCAGTGAATTGGACTGCACACTCAGTAGTTTCTCCATGTGCAAAAAACAGAAAAACCACCATTCTATCATTCTACCCAAGCTTTGATTTTTAATTCTTATCTTTACATAACTAACATGGCCAAGTTCACACTGTTCATTTTAACTCACTTCCTGAAAAGGCTGACTCCATCTGAATTTTTAACCAGATATTCACTCGTTGGCTCCAGTCTCCTGGTGCTTCCACCTCCCACAGTCGCTTCTGCTCCTCAGGATAAGTCTGCAAGAATTTCTGGCAAACTGAACAGGAGAAACCAAGGGGCAAAAGCATGAATGAGTGAAAAGTACACTGGAAGAAGAAGTATGTCTATCCCGGAAATTTTCTCAGACCTACTTTCATTAGCGCCTTTCTCTCTTCTGAGCTTCCTTTTCTCTTTTAGCTGGGACTTTTACGGAAAGTCTAGGTGGAATGGCCCCGATGGGCACAAGTGAATTCTGTCCATCTGCTTCGATCTAGATCACTTTCTTGCAAGTGCAGAAATACAGGACTTGAAATGACTTACTGGGTCACCTAGCCATCAATTCTGCAGGCACTGCTTCACAGAATTCTCCCCAGGCCCTTATCAGGTTCCAAATTAACAGCAGTGTGCATTTTTTGCCCTTGCTACTCTGAAATGAAAGCTGTTTCAGCATCTTCCAGCTGTAATGATTAAGGACGCTACTCTAATTTCTAATTCATAAACAAAAAATTTGTATCAGATGATTGCTCTTGGGCCAATACTACTATCCAATTTACTACTTCTTCTACCTTGCGCTCTGTTCCTCGGGGTAATTTGCTTCTTTGGTGGTGAAAACAGGAAACAGAAAAACCTGACAGAGGAATAGCAGGGCTACCTGTGTCAAATGTACAGCTTCCATTAGAAACCATACTCCCACAGACTCCTGACACAGTCCGTGTGCTTTGTACTTTAGTATAATTTGGATGAACTATCAAATTTTTAGTTGTTTATCTTATCAAACTGAAAACTGTCTTATTTAGAGGTTTTCTAGGATGTCTGAAGAGTCAAAAGAAGAAGTATGTCACAGGAGGCTGAACTGCTCAAAAAATTTAATGGGGATTTTGAACTTTCCTCAACTACCATTCTATCAACTTAAGAACTGAGAGAGCAATTTCTAATCAGCAAAACTATCTTCATGCTTTCCTCTCTCCATTGTAGTCCATCATAGTGCAGAACGAATTTTGGGCCATTTACCTTCAACATTCAGTTAAATTTAACAAAGGATTGTCAAAATGAAAACTCCAATTCTGGTATGCAAACATTTGCCCTATAGTAATGAGCAGATCATTGCCACTAATTTTACCAAGGATATCATCCAAATTAATCATTTCAGTAAAAACTACTGAAAGTAACATATATACCAAAACAGAGATATTTGCTAAGTGGATTTTTCACTCCTTTTTAGGCATGGATAGCACATTAAGTAAAATGCTAGGGAAAGCTGCTCACATTCAATGCAGCAATTTAGAGTAAAAAGTTGCATTCTTCTCTCCAAGAATGAGACTGTATTTCCAACGAAATATTAAAAAAAAAAATGACTTCAATATAGTCAAAAATTAACTTACAGCGTTAGCATTTTTATAAAAGTAGTACCTAGAAATCCTAATTAACATAAGATACAAGTCAAATTTATTCGTTATATGGCTCGGAACTTAACTGAGATGAAAAGCATCGCCTTGTAACATATCACTAGCGTTAACACATAAACAACACAGCATTCTGATCCACAATCTCTAAACGATGTGATGCCTGCCGCAAGAGAAATTGATTTTTTTGGGTGGAGAAAAAGAATAGTGTCAATACTATTCTTTTCTGAACTTAGAGTACCTTAGGAACTCCTGGGACACATTTGCACACATTCAATGGCACATACAGACCAAGAGAGAGGAAGAATAGGCACAGTTAAAATTTTATTGATACTTAGTTGGAACTGACAGCAAAGTCATAAAAGTCAATAGAAACACCCCCAAAAACGACTGCAAAATCTCTATACCAGATATGGAACACCATACTTGTTCAGAAAAATGTTTTTCTAAAGGATACAGTTTTATAAGTAGTATTATCAGGGATATTTTCTGTATATTTTACTAGCAAAGCCAAAACTCCAATCAGAACACAGAGGAAGATACATAGCTATTTAACAATTTTTTAAAAACGGTGACTGTTCAAAGACACTCAATGACTTGGTAAAGAAACAAGTACTGACAAGACTGGATGAAGGAGCAGAGCTCAGGTACAGTGCTTGTTAAATGCAACTCCCTACAAATGGAATATCTACAAGCACGTTATGTGTATAGTGTAGGCTTGACAACATCTTATGATTCTTCTCCCTCTGGTGTCAAATAAAATTGTTAAGTCACTGTCTAGTACAATGACATTTTTCTATTTCTTAGAGACAGTGAGATAAGAACGCAAAATGCCAAACAGGCAGTATGAGTTTTATGTTTCTCATAGTCTTACATAAATATTGGCCTACCTTCCAAATTCCAGGAAATCCAAATATCCCAAGAGTAACCAACTGCATGCTAACAACATTATCTTTCAGTTCCGATAAGTGCACATAACTCTTATACAGTTAAGAAAATCCTACCAAGACTATATTGAAATGTATACGTTATACATGACCCTTACCTGATGTTTCCACATCAAATGATTTACCTTGATACATGGCAGCAGAAATAGGGCAGCTGATCCCCAAGGCATCCTCAGCCACAAAAGACTGACAGAAATCATGTAACATTTTCATCCCTAGGCCACTTCTTCTGTACTTTCTCTGGACAAATATAGTATCCAAAACTGGCAGCAAATAACACTGACTGGTAGCACCATCACAAAGGCTCCCTGAAAGCAGACAGCAAGAAACACATGAATTTGAAAATGAAATTGTTACTACTGCACTAAGAAAACCCTGTATGGCTCGTGTCATTCTAGCCACAAATACTGCTCTGATACCTCTCTACAGGCTACAAGGCTACCTCCAACTGAAGTGTATTTGCACTGATAGTAGTGATGCCAAATGAAAAATAAAATGCTTTCCAGGAGGAAGATTTCTGCCATTAAGCTAAGAGGACATGCTTAACACGTAGTTGACAGGTCTCATCACAGTAGTTTCCAGACTTTGATTCTTCATACTCAGACTATCTAGGTACACAAGCTATATAGGAAGGGAAGTTAGCTGAAAATATATAATTGGGCTACAGTCAAAGAGGGATAAATATTCTGAAAAGTAATCTCAATATATTCCTTTAGCTTTTGGTTATCCTGGCAAATCACCCCACTTTAAACTCTTTTTATGAAACGTACAGAACCACACAACAGAGCATGATCTAAACACTCAGAAGGTGCATACTACCTGATGCAAGTGGACAATGGCAAAGGCTTCCAGAGAAAACCCCAATATTGACTAAGCAAGCAATTTAATACTGACTGTATTTCCAGGCTCAAGACCGGTGCATCCCTCTGAGCAACAAGTCCAGCAAAGTGGGCAAGAGACCTGCATGCATGAGCAGGAACTCCTGACAAAACTCCAGCAGAAGAAGGAAGCATACAGAATGTGGAAAAGGGGACAGGCCACTTGGGAGGAATACAGGGACCTTGTCAGAGTGTGCAGGGATGCGACAAGGAAGGCTAAGGCCCAGTTGGAATTAAATCTGGCAAGGGATGTCAAGGACAACAAGAGGAGCTTCTTCAAATACATCAATAGCAAAGGAAGACTAGGGAAAACGTGGGCCCGCTGCTGAATGGGGTTGTGACAAAGGATGCAGAGAAGGCAGAGTTACTGAATGCCTTCTTTGCTTCAGTCTTCACTGCTAAGGCCAGTCCTCAGGAATTCCAGACCCTGGAGACAAGAGAGGAAGGCTGGAGAAAGGAAGACTCTCCCTTGGT